ATATATATATATATATATATATATATATATATATATATATTCAAATCGTTCAACAAATACACAAGAATCTAGTAATTACATCAATTCTTAACAAGATGAATTCGGTTCTCCATTTCCATGGAAGAACCTTACGCTTACAAACATGGATGGAAGAAGAAGGAGATCCAAGGAGGAGAAAAGGATGCTTCCTCATGCCCCAAGCGACCTCCATGAGCTCCTATAGTGAAGTTATGCCTCCACATCGTCGTCCTTGAGCTGGCAGCATTTCCCTCTTCTAGAACCGCCTTTGAAATTCATTTTCGACATTTTTAATGAGTTATGGATTAATGTACCACTCGTTGGGCGAGTGGTTGCAACTCGTTGGGCGAGTGGTTCCAACTCGTTAAGCGAGTGGCCAAGAATATGGCTCGTTGGGCAAGCTTATCATAGTCATTAGATGAATAACAAAATGTTTCACTCGTTGGGCGAGCTAATCAAGTCGCTAGGCGAGTGGCCAAAAGGTATAGCTCGTTGGGCGAGCGAGTCGGTCAACGCATGAACAGTGACTGTCAATGCATGAACAGTGTCGGTCAACGCGTGAACAGTGCCAGATGAATAGTGAATAGTGAAAATTTCAGGCATATTTTTATCTTCCCCAATCCTTATTCATGCGGAAAATAAACATACAAAAACACTCATATTGATATAAAATCAATTATATACATTTTATACAACTTTTCATGAGATTTTAGTCCATAAACACATCAAAGGAGATTAAAATAAGTGCTCAATATAAGTAATTTTTTACACTTATCAGACAGCGGTTACAAAATAATGGTAATTCAAGTGAGCTAAAAATGTGGGACTTTTGACCTCGGATTAAAAACTTACGCATAAGGTTATTATTTTGCCCCAATTCAAAAAACCCAAAGTAGTAAACCTAAAAAATAAAATAAAATTGGATCTACTACCTCGACTCTTGTTCCAATCAAGGCCGTGAACCCTTAACATTAATTAATTAAAGGGTCTATGGCCTCGGTTGGATCTAGAATCGAGGCAATAGACCCTTTTTACCTAGTTTTTACCACAACTGCTATTTAAAGTTTATTTTTTTTAAAAAAAATGATCATTCTGTTTTTATAAACATTCCATATCACATAAACCCAGAAACACATTAACGGATCTGCACATAAAAACAAGTATCCACAACCCATAAATACAGTTCTGCATATAATTATTTACCTGTGATTTTTTATTTTGATAGTTATGGTTATTATTTTTGAATGGAATTTTTTTTACTACTCTTTGAAACTCCTATTTCAGGGGGGAAATTGTTGGAGTCCTTATTTTGGGTGAATGTGAAGTTTAAAATTATTTGGATTCTAGATCTTTAAATGACCATAATTTTCACTTTGGTTGACAGTTTTTGCATTATTATATATAGATTTGGGGTAGAAAAAATTGATGATACCGAGATAGTTCACGTAGCTAGTTAATCCTTTTAGATTTTCTAGAAAACGCCGTTTTCTATTTTTGGAAATTTGTTGTTTTTTTTTTCAAACTTTGCACAAATATTTAAAATAGTTAGAAATTGAATTTTGAGCTGAAATTTGTTATGAGAGCTTTTCATGATTTTTTGGTCCTTATAATAAATATCCAGGCCATTTGGAGTTTGTTTGATCATACTCTCAGTTTTACCTATACCTATGTTTTGATGTGTATGATGTATACTAGTGTAGTTAAGGGAATAGACATCGGTTATTTTCGGCCATAGATATTGGTTTCGGAATCGATGCATATACAACCGAGGTAAAAAACTATAAGATTAGCCTCGGTTCTCTTTGAACCAAAGTTCGACTCGGTTCTTTTTGAACCGAGGTAGTATCAGTTAGGATTTTCATCACTGCGAGTCCGTGAATGTCATCCTCTAAAACCTGAACATCATCCTCTAAAACTAGAACATCAGCTCAATTAGGACTCTCTTTCACGAGACTCATTGATCTTGAAGGAAGCAGAAATGGTTGGAGACATGAAATTCTTTGAGCCCTTTGAGAAAACAGCTGGTGATCAAACCTTCACAGGTTTCAAAATGTGATCTTTCCCATTTTCTTTGTCATCCAAGGAGTCTACAAAAATCTGCAGAATACCAACAAAGCCTCTTTTAGAAAACTCTATAGAATACCAAACCCAAAACCAATCAAACATATAATATTTAATTTTATAACACCTTATCATACCAAGTACGAATGTAAATAGAGAGAGATACCTAAAGGGTTGTTGGCGGCAGTTTTGGATCCATTAGGACAATTGAGGGTTTGTCGAAGGGGTTTCCAGTAAAACTCCTTCTCATGGGGTTACTGATTTCGGAACTTCTTGGAGTAGGGTTTGGAATCCTGAGGTCGCGGATGACCGTGGAAGAACGACGTTGGATCTGGCGAGGGAGATTCTGAAGACGACGGCGTTGGGCTTGAGGGAGTGGCTAGGGTTTTGGAAGGGGCTGTGTTCGCGGAGGTGGAGAGATTCTTGAACAGAGAGGGAAGGAAGAGAATTTGGAGTACCTTGTGCGGTGGAAGGAGGTGGTGTGAATGAAGGGGTTGTGTTCGCGGAGGTGGAGAGATTCTTGAACGGAGAAGGAAGGGAGAGAATTTGGAGTACCTTGTGCGGTGGAAGGAGGCGGTGCAAATGAAGGGGATGTGTTCACGGAGGTGGAGAGGTGGAGAGATTCTTGAATGTGCGGTGGAAGGAGGTGGTGCAAATGAGTGGCCAAGTTTGTGGCAGAGGATCTTGTAAGAGACCTGAAAATTTTCGGTTTGTAGAGGTTATGCCTCGGTTCATCAAAGACTCGAAGCAATAGACCTGTATCCGGGTCAAACAATGGGTCAGCAACGTTTTCTGCCTCTGTTCCATAAGTAACAGAGGCAATATATCTCCTTAGATATCGGTTGCTTTAGAACCGAGGCCTATAGTGTCTCTAAAATTACAGCTTTGCCATCGTATTTTAATACGCTTCGGTTTTTCGAAAACCAAATCGTAATGGGCGATTTCAAATACGAATTTTGCACTAGTGGTATGAAGATCAAACAATCAAACAAAAACATAAAAAACCTAAAACGAACTAACCTTGAAGGTGAGTTTGGTACTAACGAAATGAACGTCACAAAGCTCCTATCCAAAGAGTACTTGTACACAAAACCAAACGGTCAAAACGAAAGAAAATCATACCTAAGTAAATAATCAACGTAAAATGAAAGGAAAATGGAAGAAATGCTGAAAATGGTTGCAAAAATAGAAGATGAAGAGAGGAGAGCAACGACGAAGAGAGGAGAGCGAAACAACAGAGTAGAGAAAACAAAGAACAGATGTGAAAGAGACGTTGTTACTTCAATAAATTTAACCCTAGAAACACATGTTATTACCTCAATAATTTTATTAACTAAAGCAATAAGGGCTCTACGGCCTCGGTTCTATTAAAAAGCCTCTCAAAAAAATAAAAAAATAAATAATATTTTTAGTTATTTTATGTCTCGATTAACAGCATAACCGAAGCAAAAAAACTATATGGTCTTTGTTCTCTAAACAACCGATGCCATAAACCTAGTTCAAAAATGAGTCAACGGAAAAGTCAAATTTGTAGTGAAATTTGACTCTGTTATTTATAGAACAGAAGCCATAGTCCATTTAAGATTCATTTTTTTTAATCAAAACATATATATTTACAATAATTACAAAAAAATGTCACAACGTCAATTTATAACAACGTGGAAACATAAATTAAGATGAAAGTTTTTAAACAAATTATGTGAAACTTGAAGTGTTTCGTCTTCTAAATGATATGACACATGCGTTCTCTTTATTTATCTAATAAACTTATTAGATAATATATATATATATATATATATATATATATATATATATATATATAATTTTTAAACTAACATTAAGAACTGTAAGATGCATTTTAGACATTCTATTAAAAGAGGTTTCAGAAACTTACTACTCTTAGTTAAGATTATAGTATAGTAAAAATTATGTGAGAATGTCAGACAGTAAAATGCCTGTAATGTCATTGGAAAAAATTATAGACATTCTCCAGAAGTTTTAATAGCATCAAATTAATCACGGGACACAAAAGTACATAAAAGGCACGAAATTATTTGGATGACATAATTAAATAAAAATTAACGTGCAAATACATGGCGTCGGTATTCTCCTAAGGCCCATATGGGAAATATGTTTCTGTATGCCGCGAATGTGATCATGCAATTCTTGTTGAAAACTCCCATTATTTCCTGAAGTGATGAAAAAATAACATTAAAGTTGAATGATGTTTAATTAAGATTTGTCAAACGTTATAAACACTTTGTAGCTAATACCACAATGTATATATAAAAGAAGTACATTAATTTTCTGAAAATAAATTAATTACTGGATAAGTAGTTCATTTCACACAAAAAAATACGAGACATACGTTATAATAAAATTAAAAACAAATTGTCATTTACTATAGTTTAAAATTGTTATTTGAGTAATAAAAATAAATCTTTTAATATATTTATTAGTCAATCTTATAGAGACAAAATGGAAACAATGATATTAACATTTATCTAATGAAAAAATTATAACAGAACGATGTTGAACTGAAAATAAATAGAGAGAAAACAATGAATGTTATTAACTTATTTTTATATTAATATACACGATACCTGTTGCGGATAGTCACCATTCTCCATCTGTGAATTTATCAAGTACACAGCAGCTTTATGCAGTGGTGTTGCATCTCTTTCAGCCTGTTACATTATGAAGACCATGGCAACACATTATAAAACATAATATCTTAGTAATATATATATATGTGCTTCGGTTTTGTAAAAATCAAAGCTTATAAATATGTGGTGGCCTTTTCATAGTTATGGCAAACTTATAGGCTTCGGTTGACTGGGGATCGAGGCAATACGACCGTTCGACTTTGGTTGTGCTATCAACCGATGCAGTAACCGAACGTTCCATGCATTTTGTCCACCAATATGCCTCGGTTGTTTGGGGACGGAGACAATATGATCGTTCGGTTTCAGTTCTGCTATGAACCGAGGGAGTAACCAAACATTCCAAGTTAATTTTGTCCACTAATATGCCTCGGTTGTTTGGAGAAAAATGCAATAGGACCGTTCGGTTTCAGTTATGCTATGAACCGAGGCAGTAACCGAACGTTCCAAGTTAATTTTGTCCACTAATATGCCTCGATTGTATGGGGACAAAGGCAATAGGACCGTTCGGTTTCGGTTCTGCTATGAACCAAGGCAGTAACCGAACGTTCCAAGTTAATTTTGTCCACTAATATGTCTCGGTTGTCTAGGGATAAAGGCAATAGTACCGTTCGGCCTCGGTCTTTTACTTAACCGAGGTAATAGCCCCTGCGTAAACTAAACGCGAACACATTTTCTCGCGTAGTGTTCTTCCTCTTCCCTTTCACACCTCCAAAGAAGTTCTTCTATCCAACCTAGGGTTCTTCTTCCTCTTGTTCTCTCCGTTCTAATTCGCGGCAAAGGAGGTTTGATTCTATTTCCAATCTCTTCTCTCTACCATTTATCTTATTCCCCCTTTCTCACTGATTCTAGGTTGGTATTGTAGAGAGGGGAAACACCAATTTTTTTCCCTATTGTTGGTTTCTCTCAACAAACCCTATTTGGAGGTTCTTTAGGATTTCTGATTTCTTTTTGTAGGTGCGTATTGGGTGGAGAATACTCATGGCGGCGCGAAGCTCGTGGGTTTGCAATTTAAGCTCGTGGTCCTTCTGTAGATTTTTGGTTCTTGTGGTTTGCAGGTTTGATGGCTTCCCGGATGGAGATGTGGTGGTTGCAAGATCTCGCGTTGAGTGGCGCGATTCTTACGACAGCGATGGCCTGAAGTAGGCTTTGCAGTGCGACAAAGGTGGTGATGCTTCACGGTGGCGATGGCACGAGGCAGTAGCGATGGTGAGGTCGCACTTGGGTTCGCGAACCTGTTGGGAGAGGCGCTTTGGTGCGAAGCGAGTTACATGGTTGATGCGTCAATGGAGGAGATGACGTGGCTAGGGCTCGGCGAGGGTGAGAACCGTTCGGCGAGGGCGAGCACCGTTCAACGAGGACGAGCACCGTTCAGCGAGGATGAGAACCATTTGGTTCAGTACAAACCGAAGCTTAATCTAAAAAAAAAAAAACATCCTACTGCCTCGGTTACCTAAGAACCGAAGCAAAATCCGATCGCTTTTGGGTCAGTTCTTAACCGAGGCAAAAAACCTACCTTTTTTGCCTCGTCTGTATATGTCTTGATTGCGGAATTGCTGCCTATAGGCGAAAATAGCTGTTGTCATGCACTAGTGTATATATATATATATATATATATATATATATATATGACAACACTCAAAAATGGATTAAAATTTCTTATACCTGTCCTGCTTCAAGTAGAGCCAACATAGCCCAGCCAGTGTTTACTACATGAGGCTTGTTGCCTTCAAGATTTGTATATACCTGAATGAAATGAGGTTTCTATAAAAGTTATTCATGAAAACTCACCAATAATAATTCACGTGTAATATTCAATTTTAGTTTAAAAGGTAGAAGATATATATTACAAGATTTTATTGAGAGCATGAAACTTGTTAATTAAAGAGACTAATAAATAAATAAATCATTAATAAATATTTTTATTTATATAAACCTCTAACATATAAAGACAATGACGTATTCTAAATCTATCAAGTTAGATAGATTGTAGAATAGTGAATGAAAAAAAAAATGTAAAACATTAAATCATCATTCACCTAATTAGATCCTAAAACATTACAGAATTATATTTTATAGAAAAAAAAAGGATTATAGTCATTCCTCTTATCGAATATAATACTAACTAAAAAATACAATTAAGAAGTGAAGGATGTCTTCAAAGTGACTAATCTTGATTTTATGACCTGTTTTCTCAACATGGAAATCATTCAAATTAAGAATGAGATTTTTATTTGTAAAAAAAAGTATTCAAAAGAGATGTTAAAAGTTTAAGTTGGATAAATACAAAATGATAAACACTTACGAATCAAAAGGAGATGTTCAGTAAGAAGGATGAAACTAATGAAGTTGATGAAGTGCATTTTTTGGTTGGCTGTGTAATGTATCTTACATCCACAAAGCTTTATATTTTATTTCTTGTCAATATTTTAAGAGATTTGGATATAAATTACGATAAAAGCACAAAAGTCTTTGTGCTAAGCAAGCAACAATTTCAATTTCACACAGTCAAGTGTTTCATTGGAAGACTTAACGTTGTAATGTAAAGTCGTTTCAGTTAAGAAAATTTTAAAACAATGACAATGAAAATCTACTTTTAGTGTAATAACAGAGATAGAAAAAGAAAAGGAGCAGCAGAAAAATTATAAAATTTTAAGTAGAGTTCTCACTCTTTTTAGACCCATGTTTAAAAAAAAGTATTATTAGGAATCCATTATTTAACATATTCTTTTAACAATTAAAACTGCAAAGTTATAAGAAAAACATAATAGATAACAATACATATTAATTTTTTAATTTTTAATGAATTCCAAACAGTAAAAAAATAATATATTTGAAAATAATGTGTTTATAATTTTTTGACTAATTCTAATCTAGGTTAGTGTATTTTACCAAATCTGGAATATTGGTTTCCAATTTATTTAAGTAATTTTAATCCTTAATTGTTAATTATTTATAGTTTTGCTCAAATTTTATTTAAATTATAGCAGCTTTTTGTTGCTTTGAATATGACAGGATAAGATCAGGAACACAATTGCATGAAAATTGTATCATTTTATGCAGGATTTAAAAAGATAGTAGAACAAGATAGAAACCAATAGCTTTTTCTTAATCTGAAAATTGAGCAAAATAAATTAAAAGTTGCGGAAAACAAATTGAGTTAAAGAAAATACAGAATCAAAACTACTTATAATTAAAAACTAAGAAACTGCGTAACTGTGATGGACGTCTCCTGTGGATTAGAGAGAATATCAATTTAAAATATACAAATGTATATAAAATTTAGGGTTAAATATGTTTTTAGTCCCTAAACTATTGACCGTTTCTGGTTTTCGTCCCTCTTCCAAACTAAGGTACGATTTGGTCCTCAATCTTTAAAAAACGTTCGTTTTAGTCGAAAAAACGAATGTTTTGAGGACTAAAACGAGGACTAAAAACAAAATTTTGAGGACTAAAACGAACGTTTTTCTAAAGAATGAGGACCAAATCGTACCTTAGTTTGGAAGAGGGACGAAAACCAGAAACGACCAATAGTTTAGGGACTAAAAACATATTTAACCCTAAAATTTATTTTACAAATTAGTTTTGTGGAATTAAATTAAGTTTAAAATTTATTATTTAACATAGTATAAAAACATGTTAAAATCTATCTCGTTTCATAGATATATTATTTCATCCGTTATTTTATAAAATATCTCGTTTTATGGGTATATTGTTGCACCGCTATTTTATAAAATATAATAACTAAAATTATAACTTGAATCATGTTAGGCATATAGAACAAATTTTGCAAAGCATTAACTAAAGAAACACAGTTTGATATTAAAATTAGAGAAAAACCTGGTTTTGAGAGGACAAATAACTCTCTCCCCAGCCACCAGAAGGGAGTTGCTTAGATAACAAAAACTCAGAAGCTTTTCTGATGTTGGAGCAATCACTGAAACTCCTTCCACTGCTTACCAACCCTTTTACTGCATACCATGTTGCATAAGTGAAGCAAATTCCCCATGAACCATACCTGTTTAACATTTTAAGTGCTTATTCTTCTACTTAACAAATCCATAATTATACTTTTAATTTTTATTTTTAAGACTTACTTTTTAATATTCTTGCAATACAATTATTTTCATTTTCATTCATTTTAATCCTCTACAAATAGTTATTACTTTTTGTTTCTGAACACTGGTATATTGTCACCAATTACTCTCATTTGATATTGTTTCTCTTGATGAAAGGTTGAAATGATTTCAAAATAACTTTTTCCTTTAGTTTTATACACTAAAACATTATTTTAATAACGAGGAAAATATGTTTTTAATCCTTGAATGACCTAAAATTGGAATTTATCATGTTCGAAAATTTTGATACATTTTAGTTTTAAATTTTAAAAATAAATTAATATAATTCTTTTAACTCAATTACATTAATTTTTTTGATATGTCAAACATCTTTTATATTAATATTTAAATTTTTTATACCATTTGATACATTTCTACTTTCATATTTAGTAAAAAACACATTTAACACAAAAAAATCATATTCATTCATTTTCAAAATTTAGAAGTCAACATATATCATGTCAAAGTTTAAAGATTAAAAAAATATTTAACCATTTAATAAAAACATATTTAACAATTCAATATAAATGTTTTTAAAAGACAAAAATAAAACAGCAAAATGAAACAAACCTTCCTATAAACAAAGTTTACCACTAGCAAGTTCTAAAAATTCTTTCATAAGTATTTTTTTCTAAATTCTTACTTTTTAATTTGTGTATAAATTAATTTTAACCTAAAAAAAATCATTTTACCTTTTTCTGGTAGGACTTATTGAAAAGGTATACGAACAAACCCTATTTTGACTAAAAAAAAATATGAAACCAAATTGAGTTCAAACCAAAAATTATATAGTTTAAATTCACATTAAAAGTTAAAGTCATGAAAAGCAATAAAAAAATCTGATATTTGATTGTTTTTTAATTTTATAGTGGTCCACAAATTCACTTTCAATACCATTTTTATCATTTTATGGTGATTTTTCCATGTATTGAATTAGTAAATGATTTGGTACTCATGATACCAAATTGATCCAAACTTAAAAGGTAGAAAGATTAGATAAAAATAATATAATTTATTTTAAATTTCAAACCATGAGCCATCTGATGATTGTGTTTTCTGAATAAAGGCGACAGCTTTTTCAATACAGCCTCGTATTTCTCTTGGACGGTGTTCAGGATAAAATTTCCTAAATAATGTCAAAGCTTCAACCGCTGCAGAAGTGCATTCCACGTAACTATACAGCATATATTAAATAATTATTAATAAAATAAACACTTGAAATTATGGATAAAGAGATGTTTATAAAATCAACACTTGAAATTGTGGACAAAGAAATATTAATAAAATGAACACTTGAAATTGGGGACAGAGAAATTGTCTATAAAGAAATATTAATAAAATTGTCTATAAAGAAATATTAATAAAATCAACTCTATACCTGAAATTATGGATAAAGGGACAACAATAAAATCAACACTTGAAATTATGGATAAGGAAATATTAATTAGATAAGCACTTGAAATTATGTATAAAGAGATAATAATAAAATCAACACTCGAAATTATGGATAAAGAAATATTAACAAAATGAACACTTGAAATTATGGTCATGAATGCAAGATTGTTACAGTAATAGAAATGTTATTGACATTGAATTACTTACGGATAATCGAGAATTATGTCGCCAAATGTTTCAGAAGGATTGATTATCTGAAATTACAGACACAAGTTAATAATTATATTTACTTTTAGTTCAAAAAAATTAATCATATGTATTTTAGCAATGAGTATACAATATAACTTTTTTTTTAAAATATATAAAAATATAAAAAAAATGTTTATTAATTATAATTTTTATTTTATCTTTAATAATATTTTTAAGTCATAACAAAATTAAAAAAAAAAACACGATGATCTGAAAAAAAAAATGAAATTAAAACATAATGAGCAAACGAGCATTGACTCTTTATGTTAGAAAAAAGTAATCATCAATATTTCAGGTATAATTAAGATGTAAATATTTAAAATATTTGATTTTATATAATTAAACTTTTTTTATTACAACTAAATTTTAGTACAAGTACATAATCTAATAAATATTACAACTGGGTTTAAATATAATATATAATAAATAATATATCTAATTACTTTTATTTTTACACAATATATAAAGTTATATATAATAAAATATAATAATATATTCTTATTCATAAAGAAATTATTAAAGAGCTTAACAAAAAAATTGTAAGGAATGTGTTTTTTCTGGTTTATATCATATATAAATTTTAGGAAAATTAAAGAAATACAATTACTTTAATCCACAACCAATTTTCATATGTAGACCTCTCAAAATTATTGGCAAATAGGAAAAAAAATCAAGTTATTTCAATAATAATGATAAAAGGGTTACTCTAAAATAGAATTGAATCTTTCCTAATACATATACAATTAATTAATTATATATATATATATATATATATATATATATATATATATATATATATATATATATATATATATAGTTGTAGGGAATTCTGAAATTGGTATTTAAAATAGAATTGAATCTTTTCACAGATTACTTGAAAATTGTTTTATTCAGGTTTAATATTTTAAAAGACTTTTATTTTTAATTTAATTTAATTCGATTCGTTTATTCTGTATTATTACATCATAAATTTGTTTCAAAGAAGTTTCCTAAATAATGCTGAGAGACAAGACTACCTCCATCCAGTTATAAGATCGTGTGAGCTCATACGTTGGAAAGCCTCCATCTTTATTCTGCAATGTAACCAAAAAAATAAATGATTTTGGAAATTAAATTAATCTTATAAATAATACCTTACATAATTACAATCAAACATACATATTAAATTCAAAACGATTGGTTATACTTTTTTATAACAATGCAAAAGTATAATTCAAGAAAAAAGTTAAATTATTACATTAAAAATTTATGTTTTATCACATTTTGTTGCGATGATGTGCTACTTTTCTTTATTATGAAGTTAAAATATTAGATTATTTTACATCAAAAGTATAATAAATGATAAATAAATTTTTAATATTGGTCTTTATGTTTAACGAGCTCTAAAAAGAACCTAGAAATTAGAAAATAGAATCTTAAGGACATAAAGTTTTTTAAATAATAAGATTAAGTTATTTTAATATTTAAAATTTTTAAATATAAATAAATTTATATAAACAAGTTTCATTATTTAAAATTATATGAGTTTGCATATACTTTTAAATCTTCTATAAGATTCTTTGTCGATTAGTGGTTTTAACCGTGTGTCCTAATCATATTTATGTTGTTTGTAGGAACAAATAAGATTTTATGTGCTTGTGAAGCTACCTTAGGATCCCTAGAGCTTATTGATCTGTGTAAGGTAGGAAGCTATACTTTAGTGTGTTGTGCCTAGGATATTTTTTTGTTGATTGAAGTCTATTGAACATAATTATTATTTTGTGCAAAATTGTATGGTGTGTTAAATTGCTTAAACTGAACTGTTGGTTTTGTTTCGTATGTGCTGATTGAGAAAACTAAAGATTTGATCATTTGACCAAGTTAGTATTCATTCTAACATTAAAAAATGTTTTTGAACCAAACATTAATTCAAGAATACCAATCTAAATAGGTCTCTAGTTTACCGAATCACATATTTGAAGTGGAAATTTAATGATATGGCGTTGAGCAAGACTAAGATAACATTGAGTGCTAGCTTGGATTTCAAGTTTGGAAGCATTTTAGTCCCAGATAATTGAGTGTCACTTTTTCCTGCTAAGTTACCACTTTAGCGAATGATCTATCGTTGAGTGGTGGTAGGGCATCGCTGATCCATTATAGGTCTGAAACCATTTTAAGTCCATCTCACTAAGCGACAGAATGACCTCACTGAGTGAGCCATTTTACGAGAAGAATGACATTGAGTGTCATTCTTACCACTGAGTGCCAGTTCATATTTTCATCTTCTTAATTGGCTGATATCTTTGGTTGATTGGTATTGATTTGTATTCTTCTTGATATTGTTGATGATTCTGTAGATATATATCAATCCACCCCATCATTGTTCCAACAATAATGCCTCCAATCCAACCCACCCCAATGTAGCCATCTCCCCTACAATAGTTACCTCCCCAACAATAGCCTCAACAACATGAAAATGAGCATAATGATTCAGATGACAAATGATGATTAGGACTTTTTGTAGTTTTACAAACATTTACTTTTTAAGACTTGTTTATTTTTTCTCAAAATGAATTACACTATAACTATTATATTTAATGATATGAATTTCATTAATGATTGATGATTATGTTGTTTGAATTATGGCATTTGTCTGTATTGTCTAAATTAAGACATCTGTCTCCATTGATTGTATTGGCAGGTTCATTGTGGTGAATAGGAAATGTTATCCACTACATATGTTCTTGTTCTGAACTTTATCGATGGACTTATTGACGAATTAGTCTGTCGGTAATATAACTCGTTTTCATGTCATTATCGACAGATCACGGTCACTGGGAATTACTGAAGGATGAATATCGTCGATAATGTAACCGATTTTGTCACGTCATTATTGAAGGATCATGACCGTCAATAATTAACAACAATCTGATGTCGTCGACAATTACTGACGACCTAGCTTTCGATAATTACTGACAAATATAACGTCGATAATTACCAATGATCATGATTAGTCAATAATTATTTCTAACAAAATATTTAACAACTAATTTTTTATTGTTGATAATCTGTCAAAATTAATATTACTAATGGATTTTGATATTTATCGACGAAATAAAATAAGTTATAAAATGATTTTTTAGGGTGTATTTTAATTTTTTTAAAAATAAAAGTTTATTAATATTACTCTTACACAACGTTTTTTTAACTGAATTTTTTTATTTAACTCTTTAGAAAAGTTTAATTATTTTTAATTTAAAAATTATCTAAAAAATACAATAAAATTATAAAAATGATTTATCTTTACAATAAAGTTATGAAATTTAATTTTTATTATTATAAGTGAGTGCATTTGTTTTCATTGCTCGACTGTAATTGCAAATGATTTGAATCGAGTGTGTCACCTGAAATGAGAGAATGATATTCACTGCATCGTATAATCGCTTTGCATCCAATGGCTCACCAACAATTTCTGGTGCTATATCCGAGAGTAAGAGACAAGCCTGCAAAAAAATTTACTAATCAATAAAGAAGAACCAAATCATAGTTTTTTACCGGGACACTCCTACAGTTTCTTTTCCGATTCTCTTAATATATAAAATATTATAAATCATATAATCAAATAAAAATTACAGTTTAAAAAACATAATTTAAAATATTTTTATATTATACAATATATCATGTACTTTGTTATACAATTATATGTTTTTAGTTTTCGTATCTTTTTCAAACTTTAATCAAATTTTATTTCGCTCTTTTAAGGTTAGCAAAACAAATGTTTTGAGTCCTCAAGTTGGCAAAACATATAGATAGTTCGGTGGAAAGTCCAATTAGTCTGGTAAGATGAATAGAGAACTCAAATAACTTGATGTGAACTCTAGATAGCTTAATAAGGAACATGAGAATTCAAATAGCTCGGTTGGGAGTCTAAAGAGTTCGGTAAGGTGTTATCCAAGTTATGTAGAAAATCCATTGAGCTATCAGAGTTCTCGATACACCTTATCGAGCTATTTGAAACTCTCATCGAGCTATCTGAATTACCCATGTACCTAATAGGACTATATGGACTTGCCATCGAGTTATCTCAACTCTTCATTCACCTTACTATATTGTCTTCACTTTTCACTGAATTATCTAAATATCTTACTGACCAGAAACAAATACACATGTCTTGTCGATCTTATCAAACTGGGACATAACACACTATTTGCCACCAAGTTATCTTGTCGATTTTGGAACACGATATATGTGTTTTAAAAAGTGACATACCGTTTGTCACATTAAAGAAAACTAATAACATTGGTCATAAGTTATTAAATCTATAACTTTTATAAAAATGATAAAAATAAATCTTTGAAAGAGAGACGAAAAGTTAAAAATATATATAATTTAAGGATAATATATATTTCAAATTTGCATAACATATTATGATTGAAAATATTGTTTTTATATGTTTAATATTAGTACAAATACATACACGTATCACACATGTGTGTCTATTTTTTTCTCTTAAAAGATAAAAAAATAAAATTTTTATTTATGATTATAAAAGTAAATATAAAAAATTTTCGAAACAAAATAAATTGTTATTTTAATATAAGAAACAGTTAAATTTAAAATAAAAAATTAAAATAACCCTAAATCATGAAAGTCAAGAAAGTTACCTTTAGTCCTTCAGCTGTGCAATCAGAAGTTGGCCATCCATGGTCTGCAGTCGAAAAAGGCCAACTGCCTTTCGAAATATGACGAAACCATTTATTTTGATCACCCGGACAGTCTTCTAAAATCTTTGGAGAAAAAAAAAGATAGAAAGAATATTTTTATAAACAGGGATAAACCAATGCAAAAATGCAACGGTAAATGCAAAAATTATTATTACCTGTGTATTCTTGATGTACGTATGAACTTTTCTTAGAGTTGGACCATGTTCTTCTGCTAGGTTTGTTGAAATAATTGCTTGGACAATAAATGCAGTATCCCATAGTTGACTTCCATTGTAACCCTGCAACAAAAAGTGATTAAGTACATTTTCATCCTTTTTCATTCTACTAATTTAAACTAACTACTTCAATTCAAATTTCAAAGTTAATCGAATAAAGTCATGATTTATAAATTCACTGCAGTTTTTTTTACAAATAATTATTGTATATATAATTTTATATACAGTTTTTTTAACAAAATTTTGTATTTCATCAGTCTTAAAATACAATTATATATATATATATATATATATAATTGAATAAAAAATTAACTTTTTTATAATATATTATTTTAAAAATTAAATTTGTCCAATTAGAAGGAAAGCATCCCTTAATAACTTTGACAAGATGAAAAAAGTTGACTTGTATATTGACCTTCATTTTGAGACCATCTTCAGCAACCCACAGATAATCATGAACCCTTGGAAGATGTAACTTGAATGCCTCAGAATTTGGATCTTCCACCCAACAACACAGCATGTTTAACACCTGAATTATTTCCATTGATAATAATAATAACTAAGTTGTCAGTAGCACTGCTAAGAACTTCCTGGTTTAGGGTAAAAATATGATCAAAATAGTAAAAGTAAATTTTCTGGGTAATGTAAATAAAAGGTGCAAAGTATGTCCATTATTCTAAACTCTTATTGGGTGGAAAATGGAAGAACAAAAACTCTCAAGAATTATTACCTTGTTTACAGGACCTAAGCAAATATAACGAGTGGTCTCATCTTCATAGTGTATACGCTCCATTACAGTCCTAAGAGCCTTTTCCCTCAACATCTTTCCCGGAAAATGCATGAAAATAGGATCAAGGATCTTGTGTAGAGTTGCCCAGAGAATATCCTGCACAGGTGAGTGAGGATAGTACAAGTCTTCCTGCATAAGAACGAAGGTATTTATCAGAGCAATTGAATTAGTTGCTGTTGAATATAAAATAATAAGAAGTCGTATTCTGATTTTATTTTTTAGAGACATTTAAAGTCTATCAGAAAGCTAATAGCTTAAACATCAAGGAGTGTTTTTATCGACAAGGTTTATGTTCAATTCAACAAAAATTCAGTTTTGCATTTTTCTGATTTTCTTTTTATTTTCATTTTTATGTGGATATTGATGGATTAAATTATTTACAAAATAATTTTCTTATATTATTTTGTATTTTGTTTTGCATTTTTTTCTAATGGAAGGTAAATTTTCTTGAGTTGGTAATTAAGGAGATTGCATTTTCTTGAGGTTGTTGTTGCACCATTGTTTTTATTGTTCTGACCTTGCACAATGTTTAGTCTGTTATGTGCGTTTCAAATTGATGCACGCTTAGTGTTTAATCTGTATTAACTTAAGCTTCGCCGATTAAGGTCACATTTGTTTAATCTATGGTAGTGCATAATTGATTAAATAAGTGTGTTACATTTGTTTAATTCGATTTTATGAAAATTGGATTAATCTTCGCTTAATTGATTGGTTCGTGTTGGATTAGGGATGAGAAGAGTGTGTAATTTGTTGTTAATCAAGGATAGGAAGCATTTTAGTTGAATTAATAACCAACTTGTCCTTAATTAGTGTTTTTAATTCGTGTTTTAGTTAGTTAATTTAGTTCACACAATCTGTTCAAAACCCCCAACTACATTTTTGATCCTTTGACTAAACCAAAATTGGTTCTTAAGAGATGACCTAGGAGTCATTGCCTAACATACTACATTTTTAATTGCAACAACAATTTGAGTCGAGCGCGAAATCAACGATCACCTCCTAACAGGCTTCATCTAACGTACCAATTAAATCAGATTGGAACTTCTCACACCCCTCATGGGTAGTGGTCAGTTCCTCCAGTTGAACACGTAGACCGGAGAGGGTTTTCTTTTTTTCGACCACCTCCGCCTAGACCTCTTCAGCATCCCTTCGATCAACGAAATTGGCCAAGTACCAATTCAGCATGATCGCGTGGGAGAAAACCTCCAAGCGGACAATTGTTAACTCCTTTTCGGACATTTTTTCCATAGTTGTCCACTTGGCTGAATTCATGTGAAAATTGGCTTTCTAAAATGGAGTAAGAAACTTAGCCAAGCTAAGACCAACTCACTTAATAAAACAATAAAAGAGAAGATATCATACCGAACACTTGTTTGTTGAATTCCTCATGACCAAGACATTCAATGAGGACATGGGCGGGAAGGCGGCGAGCAAGGCTGTTGATGACCCCAACTGCTTTGACTTCAGTCAGAGTCATGGAGCTAAGAGGCTACGACCTTATCGTACACAAATTTCCTGTCCAATAGAAGGAAAATCACAAGTGTCTGGCTTCATAAAAAAATTTCGGCCGACCCGACTTTTTTATTACTACCTTAAAATATTTACTTTTGAATCCTTTAAGAGAAACTAAAAATGGCTTAAATAGCCACTTCTTCTCCACGGAGATGAGCGATACCCAACCCCTTTTGGTGATCGAACGAACATTAAAAAAGTGGAGGAAGATGACAGTTGTAGGGGTTATGCCCAAAGTGGAACATACTATACCACGAACGCCTGCATGTTAGCCTAACAATTCATATGTAATTGGGTGGAAGCGATGTTCAGCTCTCTTAGCATGGCGACTTCAAAATTGGTGAAAGAAACCCGAACGAAGATTTGGGAAAATAGGTAAGTGTATGCAAAGAGAAAGTCTTCGACACTGTCTCTCTTCCCATGATACACTCACTCGTTCCTCCTTACAAACTGTCAATCGGATCTGCTCAACATCCTCCACGTTCCACACAACGAAGGACTGGTTGACCTATTGCTCCAAATGCCTCTTCATGCAGAAGAAAGTGACATACAATCCCACCTTGTGGGCGGCCTAGTCATAACCTAGAATGATCAACAAAGCCCACTCGGGTTCTTCCCCCTCATTCCCGCCATCCACCTCCACTCCCCCAACCAGCGTGGAGACCAACCGCGATTCCTGAGATGGCCCTATCACTATATACAGTGGGTGAGAGATCAACCGAGCTGCTTTTTCGCTCGGTTCACTAGTAAAAAATGTGGTTTTTAATTCGCTATATAGGCTTCGGTTATGTGAGAACCGAAGCCTATAAGGATTTATACATCGGTTAATGTAAGAGCTGAGGTAGAATAATGATAATGGCACCGGTTAATTCAAGACATGAGGCATATACCACTACCAAGTTCAGAAAAAAGGCCCTATTGCCTCGGGTGACTAGGCAACTGATGCCTATACCTCTCCACTTTATTCAGACTTAACCTAATCCGCGCTTCTCCTTCCTTTACTCTCCTATTTTTCCTCTGCGCGTGCTTCTTCTTCCTCCTGCTCTCCGCGTGCCAGTGTTCGGCCCATTGGTGCCCCGCCTCGCCGCTGCTGCCTGTGGTGCTTCCTCCAACAACTCCACTCTTTCGCCGCCGCTGAGCCTCCGCCGTTGCTGCTTCCGCACTCCTGCCTCTACCGGAAATAGAAAAGGGCCAAGCCGCTCCAGATGCAGATCCGTCGCTCCAGATGCAGATCCGCCGCTCCAGATCCGCAGTTGCTGCTTCCGCACTGCTGCCTCCACCATTCCAGATAGGCGAGATCCACCGCTCCAGATCGGAGCCCTACGTCGTCTCCGCCGCGACGCTTGTCGTCAAACTCCTCACCGCCAGTCGCTGCTATCCTCTAACCCCTTCGAATGTCGCCGCCGCCCTAGATTGTAGCGTTTGCAGCCGCGAGTCGCCGTCAAACTTCTCATTAGTTTTAGTTGTTTCTTGTCAAACTCTGTTCAATCAATGGTTTAACATTATTGTAATATTGTGTCTTGTTTCTTGTTTGATTCCTGTATGATTTTCTTTTGATTGTTTTAGATTGTTCAATCAATGGTTTAACATTGTTTTAATATTGTGTGTTGTTTCTTGTTTGATTTGTGTATGGTTTTCTTTCTGAATGTTTTAGATTCTTTAGCTGGAAAATTATGTTTGGCATGATGAATTGAGTTCTAAATCTGAAGAAATAAAAAAAAACACGCCACGCTACTGCCTCGGTTCTTAGAGAATCGAGGCATATTTCTATCTCGTTTTATTTCGGTCCATAACCGAGTCATAAAGTTTGGCTTTTTTACCTCGCTCACATATGCCTCGGTTGTAAAACCAAGGCCTATAACCAAATCTAACCGGTGTCTTTTCTCATTATCCTACCAGTGGTTGTCTTAAAGAAAGACAAAGGCACAAAGCTTGGAGACGACGACCGACCACGTTCACCAGTAAACCCCTGTCACCTCTCCCTGTCAACTCCTCAAAGGAACAAAGTTGAACGGTGGTCATTATTATTACCTTAAAAGCAGCATAGAAGTTCAGACGGTAGGCAGAGCAAACAAGAAGATATTGGTGAAAATGACAACTTGCCTTCACCCTTATTTATAGGAAAAACCTGGCGTAACCGTCAGTACATCCCCACTATTGATCTAGACCACGATCAATGGCCCAGATAACGCAACCCTACCACTTCCACGAGGCACGGGACACGATGTCACGACACGTGTTTTCCCGCCTAGCTAAGTTTTCAAAATTGGGCTGAACGAATAGAATCTATGTCAACACAGAGCGACCACTAGCACCTGCACTAACAAATCCCAACGTCATCTAAAGGTGCCCAGGGCTTGGGGGCCTGTGTACTGTATGGTCAGGCCACAAGAAAGGAACAACCGATCACATACATCTAAACCCATGAAATCATGATAAGCAGTATTAGGAACTGCTCGGTCGGGCATGAGCAAAGTTCGAACGAACACCCTCAGCAATAAACATCCCTAAAAACCGCTTTAAGCTAAAGTTACTGGTGACTACTACTTAGTAGGTAATGGGCCATGATTGGACCGTAATAAGGGTTTCACTAATCCTAGGCCCATCTTAAAAGTTATAATTAGAGGGGTGTTACTCCCTCCACCACTACAGAGTGTCTCCCTCCACCTCCCCATCTCTTTTTTACCCTTTAATAATATTTAAATGAACGTAAATTGAAAAAATGTGGATATGCATTTTTAAACGGATATCAACATTCGTTGAAGTACAAATGAATGTCGACATCCGTTTACGGGCATTGAAATCCGTTTAAAAAAAGTGGATCTTCTGCTAATGTGTTTTTTGCTTTATTATTTTTCCAACCTAATCTTATAAAGCATTGATGAGTGGATTTGATTGATCAAACATTTCTTTCTCATAAACTACCTACTCCTTGTACTCCTAAATGCTTCCTCTTCATGTCTCATTATTCCTTGCAAAAACAAATACTACTACTACATCAATCACGAACATCCATTCAAATAAAAGATTATATATATATATATATATATATATATATATAGCATCATCACCACCTATAGGTGACAATTAACAATATATAAGCTCATATAATTGTGCCTGCTTATGCAATTTACTACAACCACCTGGGTTTAACTTTTGTGATGAAAGTTGTCACTTTTCGGAGACCCACAGAGGCTTGTGAGCGCTGTGTGGGTGAAAGCCTTGCAAGCATACAGTGAAGGTGACCACCGCTTCCGAGTTATAAAAGTGTAAGACCCATGAAAAAAAAAATATTTATAATAGTAAATTTTAGCATTTTATTAGTAATAATAATTTTAATGGATAGAAAAATGTAAATTTTTGGATATAAAATTATAGTAATTCTAGAGGGAGAGCTTCAAATTTTTGATAACTTATTTAGGATTTTTTTTTAAGAAAAGTGAATAGTGAATAGTAAATAGTAAATAGTGAATAGTGAATAGTTAAAAAAAAATATATATTAAAATAAATTGTGGAAGAGAATACTCCACGTAGAATTAATCATTCAGAGATAAGAATGGTGAATAAAAAAATAATTTTTGAATAGTAAAATTGAATAGTAAAAGTGAATAGTAAAA